GAGGAATCACGCATATAGAAAAAGGAAAACATTGTATTCAGGTTTCTGCGATATCATTTCCCAAAGCATTTTTTTCCTGCAAAAAGGAGGAACTGTCCGAAAACTGAAAGAGAAGAATTGAAGGAGGTGACCGGTTCTTAACTGCGCTTGTTGAAAAAGCTTTGCCTTTCGGTATACATCGTCGTCAAATTACTAAAAAAGAAAACGATACTTCTAGTCGAACGTGCCTCTCCAGAGTATCTCGAAGAAATTTCAAGTACTCTATTTCGGGCATTTTCTCGCGGTTTGATTCTTGGTGCAGCACACCTATGGATCTTTTCCTGGTTAATCTACATTGATGTTGGGCAATCGCTACTGGCGCCGCGTAACACGAGACCAGCTAAGACATTACATTATTACATCTATTTGTTTTCCCTTAAGATGCTATAAACGCCAACCTTCCTACGATTAGAGCAATCTTTGCGAACCTTCTCGATTTCTACAATCAAACCACCGTTCCATCCCAAGCACCTATTTCACCCTGTACAATCACAATTTTAGATCAGCTGGCATTTCCTGTGACGAAATGAAGTCGCTATGGGCATTGTTTTCTTTTCTGATCAACACATTGTTGAGTGTACATCCATTAATATTTTAGAATGAGCAATAAAAATTTTGGAAGTTTAGTTGGATATGGATCTCATCGCCTACACAACTGGTTTAAGGCCAGCATTTGCTAGTCGTTACAAGTCGAAAACGAACTGTATGTCTTATGGAGCGAAATGGCCTGTTTTGGTTCAAATCCAATGTGAACCGTGCTGAGGAATCTTGACGCTGCCGAGCATAGTTGAGGTAGCAGACCTACAAATCAAGCCAGAATTTCATCGCTACAGATGCTCATAAGAAACACTACATCTCGACCAATACCGTTTTGAATTGTCGTCTTAATAATTGTCGGATGAACTGATATGAAAACACAATCGAAAAACTGATGCACAATGCTACTGTAGCATTCGCCCAGTGGCCTTCAGCCCACTGTTGGCAACGTTGTACAAATCTCGATAGCAAACAGTGGCAAATCGGGGACAAAAGTCACTGCTTGCACAGAGACGAGAGTGGTCTACACTGATTTCTTGCTTTTTGCTAAGCTAGCCGGTTCACTCAGACAAGTGTGGAGAGTTTGTAGGCTAAGTTTGCATACTAAATCACTTTCAGCAGAGAGCTTGTATTCGAATGAATGGGTAATACTTAAAGTAAGGCTGAGAGTCGATTTCTATCATGTGTATGTAAGCCCTGTGCTCATTCTGAGATGGTACGAATAACTACTCAAAATATATCTTTCCTCATGTCACAACATGGCAAAATAATCGTAGGTACTTATACCGAGGAATCCCAATACTGCAGCGTCGAGCAGGATCGTTCTTAAGAGAATGTTGGAATATTGGAGCCATAGCACTTATTTAAGAAAGACTAGAGTGAAGATCCGTTCATTCATGGCATGAACACATGAATTGCAAAGATTCTTCGAAGATTTGACTATTAAAGTCAAAAAGATCAACTGGTCATCGAATTGGCTGAAACGGGAAGGCACCATGTTCGCCACGTCCACTACTGGAGGAGAAGTACCTTTTGGAACAAAAGCCAACAAATTCATTGGCATTCAAGCACTATCGTCAACGCATCTAATCATGAATATCAAGTCGCACAAAAGCCTGACACGTGAATCGAGCCCTGCTTCGAAGTTCATCGACTCCTACGCACACTGCTCTATATTTGGGTGATCCGGGCGATACTTCAAGCAGATCAGGACGTTACCCATGGATCAACGGCTCTCACAAGTGCTAGCCAAGGCCTACATGTCAAAAATTGAAAAGCCTGTTTTGGATTGCCGGCCTGTCCTCTACTGCCGCTACGTAGACAACTATTTTGTTGCCTGCTCAACTTAGAAAGAAATGGACGCGTGTCTCGAATTTCTGAACAGGCAAGCTGACAATATACGATTTAAACGGGAAAAGCCTAAAGACAATTGGTTTCCTTTTTCCAACGTGCAGATCCAGCTTGAGCGAGGGTTCCTGCAAACATATGATACAGGAAACCCATCAGCAAGAATATTTTAGTTCATTTCAGGTCAGCGCATCCACAACAAAACCAAGCGGGCGATCATCGTCAATATGGTTAGGACGGCAAAAACGGTCTCATCGGGTGATCAGGAACAAGTAGAAGCCGTGGGGTTTGCTAGGAGAGCGGCTCTCTCCAATGAGTATCCACTGAGAGCCAGCTATCTGGCAGACTACCGCGGAGAAAACTGCAAGAGCTAGAAACTGAAATTTCTGAAGAGGTGCCTTTTTGCCTGCCCTTCGTGCCGGACTTCCTCAGTTCACATGTGAGAATGGCTTTGCGAATGTGTGGCCCCGATGATACAGTTCGTGTGGTTGAAGTTCCTCCTACAAATCTAGAGCACAGAGTTATCCAAAACCGCATTACGACCGTTTCTGCATTACCCCCTCCCCCCATTGTGTCATCTGTCCCAATTGGCGAGAGGATGACTGCATGGTGTCCGTGGTGATCTACTTGATCACATGCAAGCTCTACTCTACTCTAGAAGACTACATGGGCGAAACCGAGAGTCCCCTAATATGCAGGATTAAAGAATATCTTGATGGCATGAAAAAATCGAGGCAAAAAAGGCCCTTGGGAGATCATAGGAAGCATCGCCACGGAGTTTAGAGTTTGATGTATCAGTCAGGATCTTGATGCGAGAGCCCACGACCTCAGCGCGAAAGAACTTCCGAAGCCCTTTGAATCAGCACGAAAGTCCCAAAATGAATCGGAAAGATGAATGTCTCGCCGTAACCAACGAGATTGCTCCGTTCCTCAACCTGTGTAATCTTCGATCGCCACAGGCGGCAAGCCAGGGGCCGGAACACTTGGAGCCCGCCTACTGCGGAAAGGTTTCATCACGTCTTCAAAATAGAGAGGTTAACTGTCTTTTTTTTAGACATCTGAAGTGGGTTACCTGTTGTGCTTTACAAAACCTCTTTAGATATCTATAAGCCACACTTGAACTTAGCTGAGGTCTGAAGTCGTTTGATCAGGATGAATCCCAAATATTTTTCGGCTTCCAGGGTCTGACGAAGGTGACTGGCCGGAACGTTAGCCACATAAATATTGTAATATCTTGACTAAAGCTCCAGAAAGGAACACCTGCGAAGTCCAGTGTACTTAATCTTTTGTTATTGTGAAGGATACTGCTATGATATCAAATGGCCATCAGTAGATTTTCCTTCACATCACTATCATCACCAATACTTTGCAAACCTTTCATTTTTCGGCTACAGATCGAGCGCAAAAGTAAGAGTCTGGAAGTAACGCTAGTCACAGATTAACGACACCCTTGTCATTTGAAGAAGGAATTTCGTTCGGTGGCCGATATTGAAATGCAGAATGGGACCCATATTCGTTCAATAATGCATGCATAAAGTGTAACATTGAATTATGAATGCTAGTTTTCGCTCGATTCAGACGATGTCATTCGATAAAATATGAAAGTAATATGCATACCGTCAAGTGAATTACTGGCTTGTTTAAATGGACGCAATAGAAACAACATCTAGCGGTTTCTGCAATCGCAATTTGATATAAAGAAAAATCAACACAGATCAGTTCAAAAGTATGAAGGTACAAAAGGGACTGAGGGTAGTAGGACTGCATTCAAAACAAAAAGTGATAAGATGGAGATGGCAGATGTCTTGAGATATTGTGGTCTGGTTGATGTATTTGATAGGGCCTATCATAAAAGTTCTTTGCTCAAAACTCAGAGCTTTTCTTCGATTCCCAAATTCGAGGCCACGCTCTCGTCAAGCTGTTCAATACGCGTTTTAAAGACTGTGTGGTTCCCGGCGTTGTCACATCGAATCTCGAATTTGCTTTCCATACTCTTTGATTGTTCACGACTTCCTTTCCAACTAGAGACGACATCACGAAGTTGTCTGCAAAAAGCTGTTAATGCAGCAATTGGATCGCCACCGATGTCATACGCTTTATTTGATTATTCAGCTGTAGGGGCAAACAACGTAATTATACCGAGAAAACGCTATGCTTTAACAGGATTAAAAAAGCGTCTCAAGCGCAATGTAACATATCAGTTTTTCTAATCTGGGTTACTGGAATTAAAATTGAATTCGATCGTTTAAATTCTCGAAATACTTCAAACTTTACGAGAAAGCCCCTTCTCCATTTTTTCCTCATAACCGTGCTTGCATTGAACTTGGTTAGCATCTGAATAAATTCCTTGCCTACAGGGAAAAGCGATCCACGAACAGTGTTGACAAGAAAGCAGTCCCCGCTTTTATGAATAACAAAATGAAAACACAACC